ACACAGCAGGTGCGGAAGGGGGAAAAGGCCACCGTGTGCCCGGCGCATCCACGAGGAAGACCTTCAGGAAATGGGCAGCGGGGACAGAGGCGCCCGCATCCGCCACGGGGCTGGGAAGGCTGGAAGCGTTCGTGTTGTTACTGGCTGACTCGACTTTTCCAGCCTGCCTTCCTGGCTCAAGATCAAGGCCTCATTACCTCTCACCTGGGTGGGGCAAGAGCTTTCCCAGGGAGTCTGATCTCGGTGCCCGCTGCACAAACATCCTACAGGTTCCTCCTCATAAAGGAGGAGACTCCCAGGCTCCGACACCCGCTATGGCTCCCCATGACCCTGTACTTCACTCTCACAGCCCTCAGGATCCCACCCCTGCCCTGAGCCCCACTGAACAACCTGCCGATGGCTCTCGCCCAACTCCAAGACTCTGCGTCCCCTCTGTCACGTGTCCTGTGAGGGAAAAGAAATGAGCTCGGCCCACAGCTGACCTGTGCTGAGGCTCTGTCCGTACTGGCCGTGCCGTTGCTGTTGATTTCCCCGCATGTGCACGGTCCTCTCTGAGCTGCTCTATCTTCCGCCTGGCAAAGCCCTTTGTCCCTTAGTTCCCTAAGTGCCACCCGTCAATCCCCATCCAGCTTAAATTCCTCCTCCTAAAGGGCAGCCTGCCCTGAGGACCATTCCTTCCTATCTGGGTCTTTCTCTTTGCCTTGCACCCCTTAAGTGTGAGTTAACACTTGGCAGAGTCTCCCTGCCAACACACACACACACACACACACACACACACTCAGTACCCAGACTATAAGGCTCGGTACACAACCCCTGCTTGTTTTATTCCGAGACACTAGGCCTTCATCCAGTATCTTTGAGGCAAACCATCCACCCTGACAACCACCCACAAAAAGAAGCACAGATTAGAAAGAAACTGCAAAAGCAACCAATCTCTTGGGTAGAAGAAAGCCACCGTGTCCCTTGCTCACGGTCCCCGCAGAACAGATTAAGCCACACACTTGCTCTAGAGGAAGGAGGAGAGAAAGGCCCTGTCCCAGGCCCCTGGAAACGGCCACCTTCTCTGACATTTGCTATTCCTGGCCCGAACCCACCAGGGCCCCACAGAAGCCAACCCCAGCCTGGAAGGCAGGTTCAGGGGACAGGGACACCGCTTCCAGCCCCAGTCACACCCACAGTGCCCACACAGCAGCAGCGACACTGCCCAAGGAGCTCCGTCCCTCCCTCCCCGCTGCAGGTGAGAAAACATAAGCTCTGAGTACTGGTCTGAGACAGACCAGCAGGGACAGGCAGGGTGGCCAGAGTTAGCAATTCATTCGAATTTCAGGTTTTTTAAAAAATAAAATTTTCACCGGGCGTGGTGCAGCATGCCTATAATCCCAGCACTTGGGAGGCTGAGGCAGAAGGATCGCTGCAAGCTCATAGCCAGCTGCGCCTACAATGTGAGTTTGAGTCCAGCCTGAACTGCATACTGAAACACAGTCTCAAAAAGACAAAAAATAAAATAAAATAAAATAAAATAATAAATATTTTAAAATAAGTATATCCCATGCAATGTTTGGGATATACTGAACCTTAAAAGTTATTCTTTGTACAGCCAGGCATGGTGGTGCTTGCCTGTAATCCCAGGACTCTGACAGAGGCTGAGGCAGGAGGATCACAATTTCAAGCCCAGCCTGGGCAATTCAGCGTCTTAGTGAGATTATCTCAAAAACTGCCGGGTGTTGTGGTGAATGATTATCAGCCCAGCACTCAGGAGGGTGAAGCAGGAGGATCATCCTCAGTTTGAGGCCAGGATGGGGCTACGTACTGAATTCAGTAATAGCCTGAACTACACAGTGAGATCTTCTCTCAAGAATAAATGAAATAGCATAAAAAGGGCTAGGGACGTAGCTCACTGTGAAGACTCTGGGTTCAATCTCCAGTACTGTGAACACACACACACACACACACACACACACACACACACACATATAGAATTTAGTTTTCTATATGAGATTCACATTTAAATGTGAGTCCTATATTCCACAGGCCATATCTCTGGCTTCTCAAACTTGAACTTCACAGTCTGTTTTTGTTTTTGTTTTCGGTACTGGGGATCGAACTCAGGACCTTGCACTTGCAAGGCAGGCGGCGGCACCACTGAGCTAAATCCCCAGCTCACAGTCTGTTTTTTTATGACACAGGCATGCACACTACAAAGAACACCTGTCCACCTGTCCACCTGTCCTGGGCTTTGGAGGAACCCGAGTCAGAACAAGCCGGGGACGTGGAGGGCACAGTGGTTAGCACAGCTACCTTCCAAAGACGCAGCACCGAGCCCCTCAGAGATTCCTGGCGGGGGTATTAAAGGTGCAGCCACTTGGGGAAAACCTAGCACTTCCTCAAGATATTAAATGAAGAGCCGTCAGAAAATCCAGCAATTCCACTCCTAGGGTATACACCCAGGAAAAGTGAAAAGAATCTGCATGCAAATGTCTGTAACAGAGCTCTTCAGAAAAGCCCAAACTGGAAGTCAGCTGTATTGGCTTCAACCTAAAGTGTCCCCCAAAATTCTTGCGGGTCTGGAAGGTGACTGGATCATGGCGGCACTACAGTCACCTGCGGATTCATCCACGCCTGTGTTCTCGGCTGAAGGAGCTGCTGGGAGATGGGACCTGGTGGAAGTGGGCCACTGGGACTGTGACCCAGCAGGGTGTGTCTCTGCCCCCACCCCTCCCTTCTCTCTCTGCTTCCTGGCTGCCGTGACGTGAGCCTCTCCCTGCGCCCAGGCCCTTCCGCCATCTTGTTTCTGCCATCTTGTTTCATTTCCGCCTGGGAGTCAGCAGACCATGGACTAAACCCTTGAGCCAAAATAATCCTCCTTTAAACCACAGGTATTGGGTATTGAGTCCCGAGGATGGATGTATGTCAAAGACGGCCCCCCATGGTACCTGCTAGAACACGGACAGGCCCTGAAAGGCATCATACTCGGTGAAAGGGCCAGGCACGGAAGGCCACAGAGTACATGATTCCAGATGCCCAGAATAGGCAAATCTACACAGACAAAAAAAACCAACCAACCAACCAACAAACAAAAAACAGAAGCGAGGTTGCCAGGAGCTGGGGGAGGGGATGGGGAAATCAGCCCTGAGGGGTGTGGAGATTCTTTGGGGGAATCACGAAAAAGCTCTAAAATTAACCGTGGTGATGGTTGTACAAGTCTGGCTGTACCTTGAAACCATCAAATTACACGCTTGAAGTCAAGGTTACTACAAAGAGACGTTAAACGGCCATAACAACACAAGACCATGACAAACCGCTTGGCTTTCTTCAAGCTCCAGTTTTTTGCGTTTTTTTTTTTTTTTTTCCTTCTTCAATCTCCTGTTTGGTTTTACTTTTTCTCTTTTTATCTCCTGTCAATCTAGCTCTCAACCCATTAAAGCCAACTTGTCCCTATTAGTCAAAGACAATAGAGCAATTTACTGCCAGGACCGAGAAATTCCCCAGGAGGTTAGAAAAGGTGCCAGAGAGAGAGAGAGAGAGAGACACACAGAGAGAGAGAAAGAGAGAGAAACCTCTGCTGGCTTCTGCCCACAAGCCAGGACAAGTCCAGTTCCTGGTAAGAGGCACCTGGGTCACGGCCTCTCTCAGGCGGGCAGAGGAGGGGAGCGGGTTGCAGGATCCTCAGAGCCTACTGTGGCAAGAGCTTGGCCCATGCTCCGAAGCACACATCCCCCTGCTGAATTGTAAAAATAACCCTGGAGGAGGTGCTGCTCCTCCCCCCACATGTACATGTCTATGTAGACATAGCTGTAGTTTTTTGTTTTGTTTTGTTTTTTAAGTATTGAGTATCGTACCCAAGGCCTCACACATGCTAGGCAAGTGCTCTACCACTGAGCAACATCCCCAGACCTTTTAAACACAAGCTCTCCCTAAATTGACCAGGCTGGTTTTGAACTTGCAATCCCCCTGCCTCAGCCTTCCGAGTAGCTGGGATGACAGGTTTCCATGCACATTTTTGTGAGAAACAAATGGTACCAATGGGACCGTGGCCCTATCGTTAAGTCCAGCCCAGCCAGCAAATAAATGTATCAACCGTATTCATGGACTGCTGTACTGTGGTTTTACTTTCTTCATTCTTGCTAAAATATGCGTAAGGCCAGGCATAGTGGAGCACACCTGTATCCCAGCATTCTGGGAGGCTGAGGCAGGAGGATCACAGGCTCAGAGTCCAGCCTCGGCAACTTAACAGCCTCATGAGACCCTGTCTTGTAAAAATTTTAAAAGGACTGGAGATGTACGTCAATGCTAAGGTCCTGGGTTCAATCACTGGGAAGAGGGGTGGAGCAGAGAGACAGAGAGAAAGAGGAGGAAGGAAAAAGAAAAAAATGGGAGAAAATGAAAAAATGGAAATGTGTTTGTAAAGGGGAAGGGGAGGAGGGGGTAAAGGGAGGGCAGGGACAAGGGGAAAAAATGAGAACCAAGACCTGTCATGTAAAGGTACAAGATCCCAATCATGACTGTAACTGTACTGTATCCCTAAAATGTACCAATAAACTCAATGAGAAAAAAAAAAAAACAAAAGAGGAGGAGGAAGGGAAGAAAAGTTGGGTTATAAGGAAAAGGGAGGTCCATATATTCAAATTAGTCTAAACACAGTCTAGAGTTTTCTAATTGCAGAGTCCACTTTTATTGTTTGTTTGGTTTGATTTGGTTTACTGCGCTGTTACTGCGCTGGGTATTGAGCCCAGAGACCTTGCACTGACCTACATTTCCAGTCTTTTAAATTTTTTTTCTATTTTGAGACAGGGTCTCTTAATTTGCTAATTTGCCCAGGATGGGTATAAACCTGTGACCCTCCTGGCTCAAGCTCCCAGACTGCTAGGATGACAAGTGTGTACTACCGTGCCCAACTGTGTACTGACTTCTTTCTACCTAAATGAATTAAGGTGGTGGGAAAGCGTGTGTTGACGTTTACGGCAGTTAGCATTCGACAAAACTGAAAAATTCATTCTCACCGGCCACAATTTCGAGGGCTGAAGAGGCAGATGCGGCTGTCACACTGGACAGAGTTGAGATGCATTTCCCTTGGTCTTACTGGACAGCGCTAGTCCTCGATTCCTAGGAATCAGAATTTTCCAGGAGGAGAGAAGCTTGGTAAAGTCTTGAAAAGTGTTTCCTCTTCCCTTATTTTGCCCTCCACCGTGAGAAGAGCAGGGGGAGGTAGAACAAGAAAGGCAGGGAAAGAAGAATCTAGAAGATTCTGGAAATCTGGCGAGTCCCTACACCTTTCTGTCCTCCGTATCCCCAACGCCGCTGCTCCTCTGTCTCAGGGTTCTTCAAACGCGCCCCGCTGACCTATGCTGGGGCCCATATGTCCCTTTCTGCGTTATTTCCAGTCTTAGAACAGCTTCCTCCTAAACTCAGGGGTCCTGCCTCAACAAGGCTGGCGTACAAGTGTCAGGTCTCTCCCCACACCAGTTTTAGAAACCCACCGGATCGACTTCTCGCCCCTGCTCTGATGCCCCTGTGTGACGTGGATGCGTGGATGGAAACTGGGGAATCAGAAACCCTTAAAGATTCTGTAACCTGGGCAGGGTGCTGCAAGCCCTTGGTCCTGTAAGCCCAGCACTCAAGAGGCTGAGGCAGGAGGGTCCCTTCGAGTTGGAGGCCAGCCTGGGTTACATAGTGAGACAATGCCTCAAAAATGGGGGCGGGGGCTAAGGAGCAAGCAGCAGCCTCCGGGCACCTGGATTCTAACTCGGGTTCCGGAACCAGCAAGTCAGCCATGAGGAAATCACCCTTGTAGCCCTTCAACAAATGTCCCAGGCATCCGAGTGTGCTAGACATCACGGGCGCAGGAGGAGGCGACAACAGAGTAAGGAAGTCATTTATCAATAGAATAAACAGGCAGCAATGTGGCAGCAGGCAGAGCGAAAAGACAAAAGCAACAGAACAAACTTCACAAACTCGAGGTCGGCGAGCCTGGGTGGCAAGGCGAGCTTTGCCCCTCAGCAGCTGTAAGGCAGTGAGCGGGTGACTCAAACCTCTGGGTTTCGGCTCTCCTGGCATGGTCGAGTGGAAGAGCAGACAGCAGGTAGACAGACGGCAAGGAGGGCAGGAGACAGAGTAGAAGCCAGCCCGGGGCCCCAGAGAAAACGATCCATGCTGCGCAGAGCTGAGCTAAGTTACAGAGCCACTGTGCCGGGCCAGGGACCGTCAGCAATACAGGTTCTGCTGGCCCAAGCACGCAACAGTGCCCTTTGCAGGTGTCACACTCCGGCACTACCCACAGCCCCCAGAATGGAAGCAACCTAGCTGCCCCTCCACGGGGTAGTCCGAGCAACCCCAGTCCAGGGCCAGCAGCCTCAGCACCGTCTGCTGGGAGGCACAGGTTCTGGGACGTCTCCCCCTGCCGACTCACAGACCACGGAGATGGGGGGCCCGGGAACCTGGGTCTCCCTGGGGCCTCCCAGATGGCCTGGCACCCAATCGGGCCTCGGCGACAGTGATATAACTGTGA